GGAGCTTACAAAATTTCATGCATTTTGCATATGATGAGTTTATTGTTAATGCCATCATTGCTTGGAGCCTTTTCGTTTTTTGTTTAAAACGCTTTGTGTCTAACAAAGAAAGAAGTTTGGCATGCATTTGATGCATTCTGAAATGTCGACACGTGAACATATTTTTCTCTTTGGGTGTTAATTACTTCACAGTCATTGTTTGAAGCGTTCTGTTGTTTAAGAGAACTTTCTTATAATTGCACCTTATTTTCCAGGATGAGACGTGCCTTGATCCTCTTATTGGTTACGTACGCTTAATGCTTACATCGCAAGAAGTACGAGAAGCGATGAAGCAGAATTTACCAGAGGATTACAAAACGATCTGTAACTTTTACAAGATTGTACCTTAATTTGTTAGCTTGTTTTTTGACGCATTTGTGAATGATTCTTTTGAAGCTATTTTTTCATTTATCGCTTTTCATTTTCGAAGAACGTGAAATATCAGCTGCTGTTGTCCCAGAAATTCACTTTTTTACTTTTATCTGTCTACCGAGTGTATCCGAATTGCAATTAGCTAAAACTCAAGTCTTCGATTCTGGCAATGGAAAATCCTATCACTGTTCGATTGGTTCCATTCGTTTCGATGTTAAATTGGTACTGGCATATGCCAGAGACTGAGACTGGTGGCCAACTTTTTCAGAAGCATTTCTCAAAAAAGGCTGCCCTCAACAGCTTTGCCAGCGGGAGGTTTTTCATAAACATTTTCTATCTCGGACTACTTCCGAGTACTTCCACCTTTCATAGAGAATGAATGGGAGGGGGAGGGGGGTTTGAGTTTTGACTCTGCCTTGATTTTATGCTTTGATCAGCTGTATCTTATCGTTGCTACGGATGTTTTCGATACGGCTGTAATTGATAATGTTTCCAGCTTCTGTCTCTGGATCTGGTGGATCCTTTTAAGTGCATATAAGCATATGAGTGGAATTTTATAGATGGTTTTTTTGTCTTTCCCTGATTTATCTAGCATTATTCTGGCACTGATAAACATTCCCTTTGATTTACCTGTGTATTCTTTGATTTTCGTCATTGTATAATCACCGCTGGTCTTTTGAATGTGTCTATAACATTTTCATGTCAGGCGATACCCAGGGTACCTCAGTGGAAACATGTTGCAGTCTACCGATATCTGTCATGCGTCGTTCCATGGCTTGTTGGTTTAACAGTAATTTTTTCTGCTTATCAACTATGGCAAACTATTTTCTGCATTTGTCGTATATATGCGGGTGTCAGAATACTTGTAAGCGGTTTTTGAGAAAGCTGTTCATCGGCAGCCTTGCCAGCGAGTGGTTGTTGTTAATGAGCAATGCCAGTGGGGCTATTTCAGTTTGCCTTCATTCCTGTTAGAGGGTTAATACTGGAGAGAATTTCGTAACTTAAGACGAAATTTCGTAAATTAACACGTTTTATTATTTCTTTTTCGTTACTTTGATGTACCTTCATATTTGATCCCTCTTTTTCAGGCATTTTTTGATTGATTTTGTACATCCAGATTTGATTTCTCCTTTTAACTAAGATAGATTTGGCGCTTTTTAGAGCTCCTTTGAAGAAGTGAATCAAAATCTCGCATTAAACTTATGCATCTCCCAATAAAAAGGCCAAAACAGTGACCATATTTAATAAATCATCGGATAGGTACTCACTTTTATTTTGTTGTGTGGTGGAATATTAGTTAATTTTAAATGTATTTCAAAAAAATATGCTCAAAATTTTTCACAGGTAATGATTATTTGAAAAATCCTTTTAATTGCTTGAATTTGAACATGTTTCCTCAAAAATTTACGTGAATTCTAGGAATTAAAATGCGTTTCCTCAGGAGATTGATGTACTTCCCAAAGTCATGTAAACTCCAGGAATTTAAATTTATTTCCTTAAAAAGTTGTGAAAATTCATCGAATTTAAATGTATTCCCTTAAAAAATTATGCGTTTGTCATATTCCATAAAAAAATTGTGTGAACTTGTATTTGAAAGTGCTCGCCCGAAAAGTGCGAACGTGTCGAATTTGAGGATATTTCCCTAAAAAGAAACTGTATTAGTATAAATTTAAACCTGTTTGAAAGATCCCACTGAACTGCTTGAGTCCAAACGTAATTCCTAAAAAAAAAGTATTGGGATCATTTGAATTTAAATGTTTTTCCCCAGTAGTTCGTTTTCGTAATAAACTGTATAAATCTGTTAAAATATTCAAAAGGTCTGCTACGGTCCTCAAAAATAAATGAGGGACAACTGCGTGACCTTACTGTGTAAGGGATTATCCCTGCAAGTGTTATTTATTTGCATTTTTATGCGTTTTGTGCTGTGTAACAGCAGTACAAAACGCATATTATCACGGGGTTGTCTTTGTGTGTCTGTGTGTGTGTGTGTCCGCAACAACTTGTCCGCAACTTTCAAACTCGGGGACCACGAAAGCCAGGAAGCTGAAAATTTAGGGGAGCCTCACTACAAAAGAGAATTTTCGCGACTCGTGCATGACACCAGCACAGCCGAATTCTAGTAATCGCGCAGACGAACGTATATTAGATGATGGGTGAGCCGAGCCGAGTTTTAGCAACTGGGAGAGCATGTTGGTATTTAATCCATTGCACTTGAAATACGCGTGTGTGTGTGTGTGTGTTTGTGCACGGCGAGGATTCAGGAGTGGGGGATTATGGATGGGGATAGGAGCAGGGATATTGGAACCAGTCCTGTCTTCTTCTTTCTGAGCATTGATTTTGTTTCTCGAGGATTGTTCTTTTTGCAGTTGTGTACGGTTGCCTGTATTGTGTGTGTGTGTATTTCTGTATATGTTTGTTTATCCGTGTGTGTGTGTGTGTGGTGTGTGTGTGGCGGTCCGTCTCTTTGTCCGAATGCCATGACGGAGGAGAGGATTTTGTTGGATAATTAACGCGATGATGTGTGTACAATCCTCCATATCCTAATTTTCTTTTCGAAGTTTCACAGTTTAAATGCAAAATATTCCCCTTCTTTCTTGCTCAGCCCGAGCTGATAGTTAACTTTATCGAGCATGCTATGAAGCAATCCTTAGTCCGTCCTTATCACCCCTTTTATCCGGTGATTAAAATCCTCGTTTTTTCTATTTTTTTTCTTTTGAAAAAGGAGGAAATTTGAGAAGTATAAATTGGGAGGAGAGTAAATTACAGCTGTAATTGTGAATGAAAGGAAAAAGCTGGGAAGCCAAGGGTATATAGCAAGAGACCAGCTGATATGTATGCTACTTCAGTGTTTTGATAAAATAT